CCTCGTGGCCGCTGCCGCCGCCGCCGCGTTATTGCGTTGGCGCGGAGTGGAGGATGAATGGAGTGCTAAAAGTGGGTTAGTTGGTGAAGTAATTGCCAGACACCACGCACCGGGACGATTTGTCAGCGATCGATATAAAAGGGTGGTTAACATGGAGAAGTTTAACAGTACGAAGAGACTGAAGATAACAATGGCGATATTTCTGGTGCAGATAGTACATAAAAGAATAACAAAAAAGGTTCGCACAAACTTGTGTTTTAGAAAATTTCATCAGGGTGCGTCCATCAGTTGTAGCTCCTTTACACCACCCAATAAACTGATTAATTTTCAAACTTCGAAGATTACCCTCCCCCTCACTCAATCTCACGCATGGGAGAGGGGGAGCTAACTTCAAGTAAAACATGTTTATAGTCAAATGCCAGAATTGATGACAGTAGCAGAAGTCATCGTGCGCCACTGCTCTGACGCGGTACCTTTTGATTACAGCGACGGTTGCCGACATTTCACCAAGAAGCGCCGCGTAATAGCAGTGGCGTACGATGAGTTTCGCTACTGTCATCAATTTTGGTATTCTACTATAATGATGAAGGTATGCTAAAATCTGACACAATAATATCACAGGCCCACAATACAGTGGTGTGTGTTGGGATTCCACTATATTTTTCCTGAGATACTTTTTCCCGCTGAACATGTGTCTGACGTCAGAATTGTCGATGGAGAAATATCAAAGTAATTTGAACATCAAGAGCACATATTTGGGTTCTTCAAAGAAATCTTTTCAATTCTGATGTTCAAATTACTTCCATGTCTGTTCATAAGCTACAAATTTTGACTTCAAATTCGTATTCAGGATGAAAAAATACATGGGAAAACTATAGTGGGACCCCCACCACATACAACTACTGTAATTTTGTGGACCTGTGTATTTGTGTCGTAGTTCGTGATTATAAATATATAAATAAAACCAGCGAATATACTAGAAATCGAATTTTAAATAGTTTCGTATGAGACTACGACCGGGGAGAGGGTAGAGCCGTCAAAAATGCTTCTCGTAATTAATGGCACTCCTTTTCCAGTATACAGGATGTCAACGTCTGCGTCACTTTCAAAATTTCAGCCTATTTTCAAAGATGAACGGGTTTTTACGGATTTACTGTTTAATGTTTCTCCAAAAGGGAGTGGTGTGATAAAAATTTCTCAAAACAGGCGATGCATGCACAAAATACCTTACTCAAAAATACAAGATTTAGAGGTAAAGATTTCCCAGTATCGATGCCACTGGTGTAACTCAGGCATGGATAATTTTGTAAATCCACTCCAAAGATATATTTATTTTATTCCAAAAGTATAACTTCAATACGCTGTATTTCGGTATGGAGGTATTTTAGGTCCCATATGATTTATATTTATGTAATTTCGTCTCATTTTTTCATCTGCACTATGCTCTACAAATAACCCAGTATAGAGAACGTGAACGGATGAAGATTGCAATTAGATAGAGGGATAGTCTGGAAGGAGATTTTTCTGTCTCAATGTGAGGACATCCGATGAATTTCAGGGATAACCGAAGTTCAAGGCAAGGAAATTCTCAAGAAATTTTTTACGTTGCTTGGTGGACAAATGTAGCAATCGAAGCAATCTCTGTATCTACACATGTACAGACATCACGTTTCTATCGTCATTACAGGCCGTGGTCACTAGTTCTATTGATTTTGAAGACCAGACGATTTGATCCTGTACAAATACAATGAGGATCGAGGAAAGTCAAGTTCATCTAGGGATTTAATAGGAGCATATCTAAATGATTGACGACGAGGAAGAATGTGAATTTTGGAAATTTTATTTGGAACAAGTAATAGCGAGGGTAGTATTGCAAATGAGAAAAACCATGCCAACAACTCCGTCTGCATGACTGCTGGCGATTTTCTAACTGCGACGCGTAGTTATAGAAACAGCTGCACCGATTTCGATGGAATCTAGATACTTTAAAGTCAGAGTAGGTATAGCTATCTCGTTTTTGATAATGTGTACAATTACGGCGTCCAAGCAACAAAAAGATTTCTCGTATTTTCTTAATCTAGCCATAAAATCATTTTGAGGGTGAAATTTTTGGAAATTTTCCTTTAGCACTCAGAAAATTTGGAAATAGCTAACACGGAAAAACAGTTCAACTTTTGGCAGACTCATTTTACCTCCCACACCTTCTGGCGGGGCAGTATTGTAATAGCAAAAATCTTTGAAACTGAGATATTATGCTTTCTCGATGTTATATGACATGTATATCACGTCATCCGTTTCTGTTAGTCTGTCTGTCTGTCTGTCTGCCCGCTAAACTTATAACTTGAAAAGTACCGCACGGATTTCGATGGAATTTTAAATGTTACCACTATGCCAAGGACGCAAAAGTTTTGTAGTTTTTAAAAGCCCATCTCGTGGCGGCACAGCAAAAGTCCAAAAACGAAAAAGAACAAAAATATACTTTGTTTTTTGACGTTTCAGAGGATCCTGAACATTTTTGAAAATTATTTTAGAAGTCAGAAACTTGTCGGTGGGGGTTGTAGGAGGTGAGGAAGTTTCATTTTATTTTTTTTCCCAACATTGGTAATTATACGCACCTGTTATATATTTCACACATCATAGATTTCTCTGTACATTAGCCCTTATAAAAATTAAAAATATTCTCAGCAGACGGATCGCACAGCTACTGGCCGCGGCTGCTGCTTTCAGGAAGTGCTGCCATAGCATATGCTCTGACCGCGTTGTCACATTGATCGAGTTAAGTATCGGGGAAAGGCACTACCCGTAGGGCAGAGAAAAATGTCTATGGACTAATTGTATTTGACTGACTTGTTTCCTCAGAGGATCTAGTTTATGCTTTATTCTATTTGACGCTACTTCTTATATAAGTCCAACGACGTACCGAAGACAGCTGACACAACGCTGGACCTATATGCAGACGACACCGCTATAGCCGCCAAGCATCGACGACCCGAGATCATCCGTAGGAGACTACAGGATGAACTGGACCACATCCAGGACTGGTGCGTGAAATGGAAAATCCGTATCAACGTCCAGAAGACGCAGGCAATCTTCATCCAACGAAGAAGGATTGCAAGACCTCTCGAAGCATCCATCTTCGACGAAGATATCCAGTGGAGCGACAAAGTCAAATATCTGGGGATCGTATTTGACCCTCACCTGGAAAGACCACATAGAAGCTGTCATCGCAAAGACCAGAGCAGCCATGGCTCAACTCTACCCATTACTGGGTAGACACAGCCGGATGCCGCTAGCGACCAAGCTACGGCTGATCAAGGCCATCTCCAGACCTCAGCTCGCTTACGCTTCCGCGGTCTGGGGGTACGCTGCTCCCAGCTACCACAAGCGACTTGCTGCTCTAGAGATGAAGCTACTCCGGATCGCCACCATTGCACCATCCTACGTAAGAAACTCAACCTTGCGTAGAGACCTGCATTGGGACACCATTCACGAGTACATGAGGAAAAAAGCGGAGAAGACCTTCCAGAAAGCTCAGGACCACCCGAACGAGCAGCTACGATTCCTCATGGACTACGATCCGGACGAGAGGCCTCGCAACCGCAGAACCAGGTACCCTAGACCCAAGTCACAGTTGGCAGACGCTAACTGGAACCTTGACTAGGAGTACCCGCGGTTGCTCTCCACTTCCCCCTCCACGGCGTGGATGCAGAGGGCCAGGAACCACCGGGACCAGGACCCACCGGGACCAGGACCCACCAGGACCAGGACCAACCAGGACCAGGACCCGCCACGACCAGGACCCATCAGGACCAGGACCAGGAACAATATATGTACATAGGTAAGAGGACTTGAAACTCTTGATTTTTCGAAAACAAGAGTTTCAAGAGAACCTAGCAGACACTATATCGATGATCGCTTAACGACATCGATAGAATGTGCGAGGTAAAGGGAACCAACCCGGCGTTCCCAGAGACTGAAACACATGAGGAGACGTTGTAGCAGACCGCAGGTCACGCACAACACATGGCCTACCGAGACGCTGATGAGTCGGGCCACGCGGAGGTTAGGGTTTAGTGGGTATTAGGTGGTCTCCTCAAGACAACCTGGAGTCCCACACACGCCGTAGCTCGGGCTATGGTATGGTGCATAAACGCATTCTCCCCTCACCAAAAAAAAAAGTCCATTGAAGACAGTAACAGCGCAATTAGCAAACGGAGAAAGGTTGCCTTTCCTGACCCCTTTCAATATACGATTTCTAGTAATTTTTTAAAGTTGCGTAAAACTCATAAAATTTTTATGGCTCAAAAATCTCGAATAGACGTTTCGGATATGCATCACCCAAAATGCGCAACGAACTAATTTTGCTCAGAACCGAATAACATTTTTTCGAAATTCTTTCTCCATTGAATCCCAGTAATATTCTTCTCCAATCTCCTCCTAATAAGCAAAATCACCCACCTACAACCGGTTAAAACGATATTCACCCGAACTACCCATAAAATCAAATCAACCGTCGCTTTTACGGCCCTCTCTTGTAACCTAAGAATCCCAACCTCGGAAGCAGCTCGCGTGCCCGTCTACTTTATGAAGTACTAAACTCGATTTCCAAGACAAGAATGACGATATATCCGCCGCGCGAGTGCAAGAGAGACGGACGGCGCTCGGTAGAACGTCTCTGGCGGTGGAGCGCCGCTAGACAAGGACGGCGATATGACCCTGAAGAGAATGCGACAGAGACGGGCAATTCTCGGCAGAATAGTCTCTGGCGAACACAACAAGTGTGCCCTTACCATAACTGTTACTATAAACATAATTTCGGCGTCAACACTTTTATTTCAGGCGGCGGTTGCAAGTGAATTGGATGGGCCTTTTAGGGGTTTACCGGTTTTTGCAAAGAGGGTTCGCAAGTGGAAGGGTCAATTGGGAATAGATTAGCAGATATTTGCAGCAAGAGTGGACAGGAAGTATTGATAGATTATTGTTGCCATGATGGGTTTAAAATGGGTGATTTTCTGGTGCAAGCAGATGATATAAGCGGACTGGATCTACTTCTCATCCTCCGGGAAAAAAGATTTACACAACGACTCTTAACAACTTCATGTCAAACTGGTAAAATAAATTGATTTTTTTCAACCTATACCCGGAAAAGAGCTTGAAAACAAGCTTCCGTTACAGGGTACTAGGAAAACGGACTATATGTCGTAAAACTGTGTAAAGTAGCAGCTGAACGAAATCAGGGACAGGTTTCAAAAAATGGAAAATTGTTCAGTGCTAATGAGCACTTCAGTTTGACTTCAGTTTTAACTAGGCTGCCAGATTTGATAGAATGTTCAGTAAATGTTGGGGGCTCTCAAAACTATTCCATGGCTGCTACCATTCAGCATAAACGACGGCTTTATGTTGACCGCACCCGTTCAAACTTTTTTTTTACATCGAAGCAGCACGCAGGCAGAAGCCTAAATGCCAGGCTGCTATGAGGATCCTGAAGAAAGTCAGCCACTCATCTGCCAAGCTTATCTGGGAGGCCATAGGATGGAAGTTTACATATGGGGGCAGCGTGCTACAGCTGATCGAACGCTTTCGTGAGATCAAGAGCAACGACATGAGCGTCACCCTAAGACTGGATGAGTGTACTACACAATTGCGTGACGTACGCTAGGAAGTCCTCTGTGGATCGCTGGTGCCGGAAACCATACCTACTGCCTCTCGCTAATCACACAGTGACATTCGAGGTAGTTCTGAAGCTCGCGATTTACACACTCTCCATAATCTTACTTATAACAGAAAGCAGAGCTGTAAGCGTGTAGTTGTAAGGGTTGGACATAAGCAAATTTCCGGTTTTCTGGGAAGGTGCCGGATTCGTATGATACCTGGAAGAGGCACGAAAGAACTGGAGAAAGCTCCGCTGCACACCTTCTGAATATAACTGCAGGAATCAAGTCCGAACCAGAAGCTTTGTTGATGTCGATTGACAAGAGCCTCCGCCTGAATGTTACTACCCGCATAGTGTAGGAAACCCTTACAGTCGATGACACTCGGGCATTGGGGGGACCTGCATGGCGGAGTGGGCAGCAAAGATATTGGCAAGCACTTCCGCCTTAGCCTTTGAGTCGGTTACAATCGTCCCATCTTATCACGTAAATGGTGGAAGGCTACTGTATGAGAAGTTCCTTTCAATCTGCTTGGCCAGCGTTCAGAAAGACCGATTGCGATTCATAGCACTGCGACACTACCCTGTGCCTAACTTTTACATTGTGCTCTTTGGCATTGCGGATCGCTTCGTTATATTTGTTTCTGGACTCGGCGTCGGCTTGTTTGGTCTCCACAGTGTGATTTTGTAAGGAGATTCTGTGTGCCTTGATCTCCTGCTGACAAGCAGTGCTGCACCATTTATTGAACCAGCCGTTGGCCCTTGGACTAGACACTATCACCGTATGAGGGATGCATTCCTCCATCCCGACGTAGACAATTCCGGTTATAGATGAACAGACAGCCGACGCGTCCTTGTCAGCGAAGCAAATATCTCTCCAAGGTAGAGAACAATAAACTGAGCCCCTCCCAGTCGGGATGTCCGTAATGCCAAATTTTGCTATCTGGTCGAGTTTCTGCTGCCACAGCGGGTTCTGACCGAAACCTAACCTCCACAAAACCGTGGTCTGAGTTACCCAGATGAGGCAGGACAGCATTGCTGTAAGGGACAGGATGCGTGGTCAGAAAGAGATCCGGCAGGCTTGAGTAAGAGTGAACGCTTCGACTGCACGACCTGCTGTATCGGTCTTGTTTGAGCCCAACCAGACTTCATTACGAAATCACCGAGTAGAACTACCTCTGAAGCGGGGTGATTGATGTTCAGGAAGTCGATCTTGAAAGCAAGGTATTGAAGTATGCCATCCTAGTTATGGCCAGAGGAAGAGCGATAAAGACAGCAAATACACAAAGGGGATGTTTTGGAGTTGAGGCGAAGCCACAGAACGTCCTTCCGATCTGATTCCGAGAAACGACTCTGGAGCAGGAAATACTGCTGAGGACAAAAGCCACAACTCCCCCGTCCTTTCTCAGATTGGAGTGCACTTCGTAATTTGGGAATCTAAGATGGTTAATATGTGCATAATCTGTGACTTTTGTATCCGCCAAGAAAGGCATAGCGGGACGATTGGATTGCAAGTAGTGATGAACAGCATCAATGTTGCTGATGACCGACTGCGTAGTTTAGGTGTGGAAGCATGCGGACATAGGTACATAAGACACCCTGGAGTTAGCTGTAATTTCTACCGCCACGCAATCGTTACTGAGGTGTTCCTTAACGCGTATACAATCACTTGAATGGGAAGAAGTTGTATACTGGATACAACAACTTCCGGAACAAGCATTGCCACGGCAATCAGTAGAGGATAGGGGACCATTCTCACTCGATGACCAATATTTATAATACTAAACTTAATTAGTGGTCAACGTAACATGTAAGTAACTCAACATGTATAATTTATCTGACTTAATATAATAATATTTGTACCTACTCCAGGAATAATTGGAACTGATTACGTTGTAGGCTGACTCTGCAGTTCCTACACAATGCTGTCTTCAGTTCATACAGGATTGAACAAGAGATGGATATCCTCCTGAGCAATGAATCCTGAGCTTCTAGTCAGGGCGCTTTTTTATATGGAGCCCCCTCTGAAAATACGTTTTAGATCCGCCCCTGAATAGGTCTCACGCATCCACGCATCGCATCGGTCAGCCTTCGAAGCAGTTATTATGTATGTCCGCAGGTAAACCGCGTCGAACCATCATAATTATTTGCATATGGTAGCATGGTTTTGTGTTAAATTTTAAGAATTATTAGTGTGGGAACATGTATACTTAAAAAAAATTGTCTCTCGCCGATGATCGACCCCCCTCTCCCCCCTGAGATAAGTTTCTGCGGGCGCACATGTATGTAAGTCCGGGGGTTAGGTATGATTCGTACATTCGAAGTAATTCTCTACCATTCTAGATTTTAAGGACAGTATATGTCCAATAGGTGTGTAGAATTACCGGGGTTGGAAGTGTATAGATACACTACCTCCAAAAATTGAGATATATCCTGCCCCACATCCTACAACCCTCAACCATCAATTTTAACCCCTAAAACATGTTTTGAAAATTATAAATTTCAGAAAACAAAATTTAGCTATTTTTTACGTTTTTTTTACATGTAGCTCCGCCGCCACTGGACAGATTTTCCAAAAGTACAAAGCTTTTTCGTCCTTGATGTAACGATAATCTTGTGTGAGAATTTCTTTACAATCCCAGCGGTACTTTCCAAGTTATGCCCGACAGACAGACCGACGAAAAGCATGTCACTACACGCTTTTTCGTGATGTAGATGTCACGAGACATCCAAAAACATACTGATTTTCTAAATAAGATGCTTCCTCGCCAGTGGCGTGGGAAGTTTGAGGACAGGGACTGGATCAAAGCAAGGGCGGCATCAAGGGGGGATAGTGGGTGTCCCCCCTAGAGGTCACAACCGCTTTCTATCCAACCACTCGATTTTTCAGGTTGTTTATGCAACACACTTCCCTTCTTGCTGAAGCTGCAAAGTATGACCCCTCCTGGAATTTTGCTCTTGCGATCTTTCAGATCCATTGAAAACTGGGCCCTCATTTAAATTTCCAGCAAAATCGTTCTAATCGTATCGGCAACCCTACACACTCAGAAAATTAGGAAGATCCACTCTGTATGATTCTCTTCTGAACCCTATACTTCCTCAATCCTTTCCATCGCCCACATTTCCTGGTATCAATCAGAAACCGTGTCAGATCCACCTCCAGCCACCCAATTACCCACATTATCACTTTTTCCACCAGTTAATTAGGTGTTAAAACTCGTAGCCCGCTCGTCCTCTCACTCCCACCTCCTCGTCGAGGCACCATGTGATTTCAAGTTGGCGCCCAAACCAGCTATTGGCTGCGCGCACCGGTCACATGACCCGATTACGTCATCGCGGCGTCCGTGGCGCGTGTCCGAGCGAGAAGGTAACCTCATAAATCGCTAGCGAACGAGAGAGATGCACATAAAGCATGGTTAGCGGGAGCGTCGACCATTATCTCGGTCCCCGCGTGTTCCGTCCTTGTCGCACTCGTTAGGAAGGCGTAGCGGTCCGCCCATAAAGCGATCTGTTCGCCCCCGCTCCCCCCTGGAAAGGGGACCTGCTGGAGAGGCAGTAAACCATTCTTTAACACTTAACTCACGTATTGCCGGCGCGACTGACGCAAAATACGATCTGCGGGACCGATTTTAAACTGAGAACAATCGCCGCCGCTCGGTCAGTGACGGACACGTGAAAACGGTTGTTTGGAGGGAAAAAAACGACGTAACAGAAGAGACAAGAGTGACTGATTGATGGACTTGGGCTTCCGGTTTTGTTTGGGGTGTCTTACATAGCCTCCCGCAACGTTCACCTAGTCATCTTCAGAGCTGTTTGTTAAGGTCAGTGATCATGCTTGAATCGGAAGATAACCCAGTCCACATCTCACCAGGAGTCTGTCCAAATTGAAAAAAAATTGCTCATGCTACATGCAACCCCGCTTTGCTAAATCATCACTGAATTTGAGCACACCCAACATCACATCAACAACAAATAAAGATAAACAATTGCCCGTCACTCCTTACCTAGACCCTATCCACCTCTGCTACCACAAATAATAGATTGTATGAACATACCCGCATGTTTCATTATTACGCATATTTCCTTTTTAGTCAAAGCTCCATATCTGCAATAACATTACTTTGGAAAAAGTCTCAATATTTTCTGTGTCCACCAGAGGCTAGCTACTTTTGGTAGGAAGACTTCTTTTAGCTCAAATAGTGCATTCTTCTGTCAGAAATGTTTTGGCCACCAATGTACAACAAGTAGAAGTAGAATATGAGTCTCATTTGAGGCTGCACATCAAGTTTAGCATCAATTGCTTCAGTCCCAATAATCCAATATAATTTATATTTGAAACGCATCCCAATTTTACACGCATAAGCTTAAACCACATCTCCGTCTGCTCAATCATGTTTAAATTTAAGCGCACTCAAACAATAAAAAACATTTTCTAAGCGACGATTGTCGACTTCTGTAATGCTATCACGATAACTATGACTGTTAACTTACCGTCAAAGATGCTTCCTCTTGAGAAAAATATCCTTAAATACAATTTGAAATCTTTGAGGTATTTGAGCGGGGTCTTTATTGCAATATTATGTATAAAAAGATCCCATCAAGTATATCTACATAATGAAACCAACCCCTCATAGTTTTCCACCACCACAGCGATATGTTGAAACCAAACGTGAGGTGTCAAGCTATAACGTTTAACAAACGAACGTAGAAAAACAATTTCTCAGCATGGTACAACCAGTATTTTGTTGTGTAGTTTGTATAACTTTTTTACGTAGTAAAAAATTTGTTGGATAAGTACGGCGCCTATTTGGGTCTGTTAGTAAAGCGACATACACTTCGGAATAAATTTAAATGTCTTTTAGCCTTTAGCAAGCTTGTTAAAGGTACTTCAAAGTGAAGAACATCAGTTGTAATATATCGTACGGTTAATCCGGAAGAAATTAGAGATATAAAAGAAACTTACTAAATTGAGGATTCCATATAGAATCTTCCAAGTATCAAACTGATTGATGATCACTTTAGGAGCTATGGCGAGACTTAATGAGATACATTTATCTACACAGTCTTCAACGAGATTCCCGGAAGAGGAAGAAGGAAAGAATAAGAAGAACGAGACGATAATGACAACGCCGACGACGATGTAAGAGAACGGAATCAGGACTAATAGCCATTACATCAAAGACAATTTGTCGAAGAATACACGACTAATAGATACTTGTAACATACCATTTCCTGAAATATAAACTGCAAACAACCATTATATCATATCATACTGAATTAAATTGAACATTGAAAGACGAGCATCTACATCAGAAGAAAGAGAATAGATAAATCCTACCTAAAACGTCTCTTTACTATGTTGTGATTGACCGGAGCGTCAGCTAAAACTTAAGTAGTAGTTTTTAGATAGTTGAAGCTTTCCTGTTTGTGGCACATTTTCCACAATACCTGACATTAACACTCTTTTACATTCGTCTGTATAAATGAGGATGTAGAAGTACATTTTCGTAATAAAAGAATCGAAGCCTGCAAATGCACATTGACTGCCTCTTGCTACTAATATTATTACAGACGGCAAAGTTGTGTATGATCTCAAAATTCATGCCAATGCGAGCTTTGAAGAGTTATCGGTTCAGATAATTTCATAAAAGTCTCTACAATTTGGCTTTGTAAAATAATCAAACTTGCAGCTATTGTTAAGACTGACATTCAATGTTCCCTGTTCATTATATTTGGTGAGATTTTTATAATCACAAATACTGGTACTCCACTTTACTGCGAAAAAATTTTCTACTAACCTCTTGCTTAGCAGGTACAAAAAAACACACAAAAAAATAAATATGGCTAATTCATCCAGCTGCGAAATGAAACCCCAGATGTACATCGGAAAAATTGACTAACGTTTCGGTAACCTTTTCAATGTAAAGATCTCTATTTTGATCATAAAAAATAATTTAGTGATTACTTAGGCCTGTAAAAGTGTAGAGAGTGATAGGTACACACAGGTGAGCATCAACAGCTGACATGAAAAATGGTAAAACTGTGGCACGTTCACCCTATTAATTTCCCATCATACAAACTAAAATGACAAGCAGCGAAATAAAAACGCGCAAAATGCCGTGCAACATACATCAACAAATTGATTTTATTAATATGCGTATAACTCATAGCATAAACAAGTTTTCCCCATATAATTACAATAGAGGTCGTAAATTTTGCTCAGTCGTTCGCGGTCTTGGTTACCAGCAACTGCCAATACACCCGGAGCAGCTTTCTTCAATGGCTTTATTTTCTCGTTGTAAATTCATTGAAATTATATTGATCGAACCTGTATTTATCTTTTGGTCTTGTTGTTGCTTCTTCTTATGCCCTGTTCAGAGCTAAAATTTATTGTGGGTCCCGTGTCTGTTTTGGAATTCGCTGAGTTTTTGTCAGCACCGCCTTTTTACATGTTGTAATGGATAGCTTAGATTACAATAGGATATAAGAGAAGGACGGATAGTTTTGTTTACTTTTGCACTGTGAAAGCTTGGTCAATCAATCAGTTTTTCGGGAAAATGTTCAATTACCCGTCATGGGTTTTTCAACTATTCTAAGCTACTAAATTATTTGGGTCAATTGAACTGAATTTTCTAAACCAGTTTAACTAAAAGTAATATATTATAAAATCAATTTGCTTGAAAATAGCAAACTATGTACCTGGTTTATTGAACTATCTAGTCAGTTTAGGTAGTTTAGTTCTTGTAGAAAATGTGCACTTAAAACAATTAAACATTTTAATAAAATCAGTTGAACTGTTTATTTGATTCACGGACTCGGCCCTTTATTCGTGAAAGAACAAATAATTGCTTACAGTGAATGGTGATATACAGGGTGGCGCATCGAAAACGGAACAAACGCATTTACTGGCAGCTTAGCTTTTTTTTGAAAAATGCTCAGACCCGTCGATTTTGTTTTCGAGGGGGACACAAGTTTGGCAAAAAATTACGTTAGCACGTGCAGCCCCCTAAGCGAGTGTGACACCACCCCCAAAATCTTAAATGGAAAGGGGGGTCGAGTGATACCCTATTTTAAAGGTCTTTCAATTCCCTTTATAATGATATAAAACTAATGTACTTCAGTTCAGTAGTTTTGAAGATTTATTGATTTAAAGCTTAAATAAAACTACATATGTAATACATCATCATTAGGAGATCAATACATTTGGCAGCAAAGTAACTTAAAAATGAAGAATGAACTGACCCGTTAGGCAAGTAAATGTTGAAAATGGCCACCATGACTCTCCATGCAATAATAAAGATTTTGCTCAAAACGTTGCCGCATACTTTGCAATATTTGAGGAGTAATTTGAAGGCACTCATTCACAATTCTTTGTCGCAGGTCTTCTAATGATGTTGACTGAGTAGCATAGATTTTGCTTTTTAAATGACCCCACATAAAGAAATCCAAAGTTGATAAATCTGGCGATCTTGAGGGCCATTCAATGGCACCACCTCTTCTACCAATCCATCGATCTGGAAACGTCTGATCTAAATATTGTCGAACACGTAATGCGTAATGTCGTGGGGCAACATCCTATTGGAACATCAACCTATTCGCAATGTACCGCCGATCATTCTGATTTTCAATTATGGCTGTTAATGCAGGATCTATGACGTCTTCCAGTAATTCCAAATACATTTCATCGGTCAAATTTCCAGGTAAGAAAAAAGGACCAACTAAATGATCGCCAATAATACCAGCCCAAACATTTAATTTTTGTGGCTGCTGTGTATCAACCTCATGATAAATTCTGGGATTAGAATCGGACCAATATCGGCAGTTATGACGCTTTACTACGCCATTTAAGAAAAAGGAACATTCGTCGGAAAAGCAAGTGTTGAACAGAAAATGTTCATCGTTTATAATTCGTTCACTTATATCTTCACAAAATTGTAATCGCCGATCAAAATCGTCTTCATTAAGTTCTTGTACCAGGTGAATTTTATACGGATGAAAACTATGGGCCTTTAGAATCCGTTGGACAGTACGACGACTAACACCACACACAGTGTCCAATTTGCGGGTACTTAACGTAGGATGTACATAAACTTGCCCTGAAACCCCCACTATTGCTTCGTTCCTTATGGGTTTTTCAATGTTGCGTTTTTTATTGGCGACTGACCCAGTTTCCCGAAATTTAGCTACATGTTCTAGAACATATTTTCGATGCACGTTACTGTTCTCATCTCGCTCATTAAATATTTCTGCTGTTCTATTAGCGCACTGATTATTTCCGAAAAATATTTCGATAATTTCAACTCTTTCTGCTGTGGAATATATCATGGTTAATTTATGTAATAAAGCGTTACAAGTTATTTTAGCAACAATGTTTGGTCAAATCAATCGCACTAAGTACTAAATTCCTATTTAAAATAAGTACGAGATATTTCCTTATATTTCTTCAAGAAATAACTTTTTGCCACAAAAAAATGCTCCAATAGCTATTTTCCCAAATGGGCGTAGTGAAGAAAAGCATTTACTTATTAAGTAAATTCTTTTAGTCAAATTTCTTCCGAAAGTAGTACAAACTAATCTGATGTACCTATTAAAGTCTACTTTAAGCTTTAAATCAATAAATCTTCAAAACTACTGAACTGAAGCTCATGTATTTTACATCATTATAAAGGGAATTGAAAGACCTTTAAAGTAAGGTATCACTCGACCCCCCTTTCCATTTAAGATTTTAGGGTTGGTGTCACCCCCGCCCAGGGGCTGCACGTGTTAACGTGATTTTTTGCCAAACTTGTGTCCCCCTCGAAAACAAAATCGACGGGTCTGAGCGTTTTTCCAAAAAAAACTGAGCTGCCAGTAAATGCGTCTGTTTCGTTTTCGATGCGCCACCCTGTATATGTATTATAACCTGTTTCTGGACAATCAGTCAAATAATGGTAAAACCTGATCGTAAGTTTTTATTTTGATTCGAAAGTATTAATTCTCAATATCAAGTTTTCCAAATCTTTTGGATAGATTAGTCAGAGCAAAGTTACAATATACATCATTCAGTAGAATGCAATTTGTTCTTTTGATTTCCAAATATTACCTTAATATACTTTTAAATCTAAATAAAATGATTCATTGAAACTAGGCAAATACTTTTCCTACACTCATTAAAAAAATAAATGTAATTAAATTGTTTCACTTGGAGCAGGCAAAATCATTTTAATTATTCAATAATTTTAAATAAACTCAATTACAGTAAATTGTTTAAAAAATTTAAGCGCTTGCGTTTTGATTATACTAAACTAGCTCTATAGATTCAAGTAAACTGTTCTAGAAATCGGAGTTTAAGCAAACAAATTAGATCTGCTAGCTGTCACATAGTTGATTACATTTTTTAATTGGCTTAATTAAAATTTCAAATTGTTGATCAATTTTATTTCTCAACGCGACTTAGTAATTGGGTATATAATGTGAAAATTATCGCCAATAATACAGATACCGTTGCTAGTGACTTGCAGTTTGGGGATCAAGTAGTCGTTTAGGCCTTGTATCATAGTATCAGTTCGAAAACTGTAAGGAAGTAACTGAGGCTAAAGAAAAAGTGTCAGAAAACAGAAGGGATTTTGTCACGAGGAAGTGGCTTGCATAATTATAAAAGACATTTCACTGAAGTTACTGCAAGCAAAAATTAGCCACATACCTCATTTTTGTAGAAATTAAACGACGAAATCAACTATATGGAAAATATGACAAACGTGCAACAACTGAAAATAGTGGGAAATTATTTTTTTGTTCTCATTTTTCAAAATATGAACCTTGTACAGTTTTTCAGAGAGAAATTATGCTGACGCCAGAAACTGTCAAATATGGTTAGTCTTCAAATTGCTTATACCTACCTAAGAAGCAATAGATTTCATTGAAACTTGGAAAGTAATAAATATACGAGGTTTTTTGTTATAAATTTGTAGATACTATAACCGTGCTGTTTTATATCAGGAAAAACCTATTCGGCCTTGCGTTCTGTGTTCAACTTGAGCTGCACAGCCCCCCTCTGAATTCGTCAACATCACATAGTCTTGTGTGAAAAAACGACTACTCATAAGTCATGAACACATAAATAAGAAAATAAGGACCAAAACTGTAAAAATTAATCCACGATGACATCACAGGGTAGATTCGGATTTAATACAAAAAACGGATAGAAAATAATAGGATAGGACAGTCAGTTGGTATCCATACATTTTCAGAAAATAAGGACCAGTGAATGAAGCACAACACGCA